TTCCCCCCCCCCTCCCCCGGCTGTTATTCCACCGTACGTCGGCCCTACTTTTTTTTCCTTCTGTTATCATCTTAAGTTTCCGGGAAATGGAAGGAAAAAAATACATTAAGGATAATAAACAGCGATGGTTCTTTTTTTTTTCTTCCTGATTTTGTCCACTCTCATCGACATCGTCATTGTCATCGCCGTTGTCCTCGTCGTCGTAATCTTGTTCAGTTTTAAAGACCTTTTTCGAAGGTTTAAAGGAGCATACGAACACTGGAAACAGAAAAAATAGCAGCAATAACGAAAATAAAACGTTGATCGCCAAAAAGAAAAAAAAACACTTCAGTATTTTTTCAAGTTGCTTTCTTTTTTCTTCACTTTTTTTTGGTGATAAGTCTTTCTCTAGAACTGCAACTAGGTAGCGGTAGCGAATACACCAACAAATCAAAAAAAAAGTTTCAAAGTTTCAAGTTTTTTTTGTTTTTATGTGCTCTGAAATAACTATTAGAATTACTGTATCGATAAATAAGCAGTGAATTTTCCACTAAATTAACTGTAACGTATTTGACAAAATTTAGGGAAAGAACCATTTTTTTCCTGTAATTTTTCTGTTTTTCCGCTTCTCTCTGACAACATCACCTGTACAGTCATTACCAACACCACCATCGTCACCACAGACATCACCACCAACACCAGTATCGACAACAACAACAAAAACAACGGCAACGATAACAATCTAGTGAATTAGTTTTGATTGCTCAAATTCAAGTGGAAAAACTGAAAAAAAAAAAAGATCAATTTTTTTTTTTTGAAAATCGTTGACAGCTGAGGTAAACTGTTTTCTTTATTTCGCTCTTCAATCGTTTTTTTTTTGACGTTCTCATCATGTATTGTTAACTAATACGGGTAGATCCGTCCGCTATCGGAAATGGAATTTGAAATTTTCAATTGGAAGGTGCTTTATGTGATTGCTGAAATTTGAAGAGGCCTAATTTTGTCTGTTCTATATTCTAATAAATTTTTTTTAATTTGAACACATTAAAATTATCTGTTATTAATATGGATTTAATCTTTGGTGAAAATTTCATTATTTTTCCTTTTTGATTATCAAAACAACGCTGCGTCTAAGTTGTTTTCTTAGAAAACCAATAAGGCAAAAGGGTGGGAAGATAGATGGATAACAACAATACATAAAACTGAGTAGCTGAGGGAAAACTGCGTTTTTGTATCACTGTGTGTCCTATCATCTGTGTCTGTGTGTTTAGGTGTGTGAATTTGTGTGTCTGTCCTTTCTGCTTTTTTTTTTTTTTAATTTTATTAAATTGTTTTTGATTAACATACACGCAGATAGAAAAATTTTATATTTATCGTTTAACAAAAGAAATATTTTTTTCAACCCGAACACTGTTTTTCTGTACTCTTAAAACCAAACCACTAGTGTTTTACAGAATTTTGTATATGGCTTAAATAGCACACTTTAGCTAAAGTTTCTTGAGTTTAGGTTGATGAGAGCACAAAAATTGGCACGTTTAAGTAACCTGAATGACCAGCCATCCAGTCTATGTTCTGCACCGTCGACATTTGTTGAGGGATGTTTACCGAAAATTCCGGAACTGGTTTCATCAGCTCCAATAGATATATTATATTCTGCGCCCGGAAACTGTACACCGACAACCTCGCTTGGTATATCACTTAGTGAGCTAAGAGTTGATCGTAAGTTTTTTTTCTTCTAACTTTTTTTCACCCCGCTTTCTTCATCGCCTAATTTCCATTTGCCAAACTGTTTTTGGTATTTGTTTACGGTGCCTGTACCAAAAAATAACAGCAGCAGCAAAACAGAAAAGTTGATTGGCAGTGGTAGTACGGTGTTGTATCGGTAACATAAAAAGTTTACGAAACCACAAACAATTATAAAGGTTAATCAAGTTGAAATTTAAACAACTCTGACGTCATAATTAAAAATATGTTTTGTTAATTTGTGGTTATCTTTGTAACTCGAACGAAGTGAAATAAAAAAAAAAAAATATTTTAGCTGAATCACCTTGCGACTTTCCAGCTTCCACTTCAACAAGATTTTTACACAGCAGTACTAGCAGCCATTTGGCTAAGTCAAACGCTTTTAGTATTGAACACATATTGTCGGGAAAATATAAGGTAAGCATGAAATTTTAGTGCAACACCGACAGTGAAAAAGTTCCGCTGTCATGAATTCATGAAAACAAACTTTACAGAAAATTTGGGAAGAAGAATCAACTCTTATGGATTGCATGGAACAGGAGCATATTGCTACATCGCGTTGTGGTACAAGTGAAACGAACCAAGCATTCCGGAACATCAACGTTAACAGCAACGACTACGAGAAGAGGTTACGTCAATGCAGCACTCGAATGAAGTGTTCCCTATCTGAAATGGCTCAGTCGTCAGCGGAATTCGCGCAAAAATTTTCCACAGGCCGTAGCGTACCAATTCGTTTGATTGGAAAGTCTTCTAGCGATACGCGACGAGGTAAATCAGTTTTTTTTTCGTAGTACTCACAGCAAAAAATGTAGCGGCTACGGCGCATCATCCTGTGAAGAACCAGCTACTGTTGTGTTTGCTTTGAGTACACTATCCTGGCCTCTCTGATCCCTGTAAACAAAAAAGTAGTGGCATTTGCAACTTGTTGTTTTCAGATACAGACGACGACAGTGGGAAAGCATCTGACACCGATCCTCCACAGTCATTATCTCCGGATGGAGATGGGGGTTCGACGAAGTCCTCCACAATACAAAGTATTTTCAATCCTATAGCTACATCATCACCAACTGCGAGCGAATATCATCCTATACATGTATCAACTGCTTTTTCGCCATCTTCGACTACTTCTGATTTGGCATCGTCAGTATCAACAGGCTCAACAGTATTAGCTTATGCACCGAGTGGAGAGCGCTTAGAGAGCATTGAAAAGTCTGCTTTCGAACGGGTTGACCAAAACGATTCGGTTTCCGGCTTCATTAGCGATTCCAAACGAAGAACAACTGCCACTAGTCACATAGTGCAAAATAATTTAGAAAGGAAATTGTTGGAAAACGATTTAATCAGTTCATCAATGAAGGTAAGTGACACTTTGTAATTTCGCTCTGTGTAAGTGATTCTGCCGATTATTTTTCATTTATTATTGCAAACGTTTCAAAAAGTTTTAACAACAGCATACGGTTCTCTTTGATATATTATCCAATAATAAAAATTTTCAATCTTTATTACTGAGACTATTTAGATGGAAACCGTAGAAGCAATCTTAATGGAGCAAATGCCACAACCGTCTTGGCCTCATATGGTTGCACCAGTAAAGCCTCGTGATTTTCATTTAACAAAGGTAATCATTTCACCTGAACGCTTGCTCACTTATTTATTTTTGTTGCAAGAAAATCAAGTTTTCAAGTCGTCATTTTGAATTGTTTTTCAGGAAAAAAAAGCTGATAAATCAGAAGCAACAACAGAAAACGATGCCAAATGGGCGGAATCGGTTGTTACAGATAAAAAACGACACTGTTGCCCACACTTGAACTGTGGAAAATTTTACACAAAAAGTTCTCATTTGAAGGCCCATATGAGAACGCACACGGGTGGGTACAAGAGACAATCACTTGATTTTGATGCAAGCAAAAAAAATCCTATTATACAATTCTTCTAACTAGTTTACCCGACTTCTACTATCGTTTGACGGCCGAGCTACCAAAAAATGAGTTCTCATCTTGAAAACTATTTATGACCTGTACTCGATTTTTTTTGTTTAATTGAAAATGAACATTGTCAATTTCATTGGGTAAACGAAAAAGGCATTTTTTTTTTTTGAAATAATTTTTATACAAGAGGAACTGATTATTATATGAAGGATAATCTGTTACTCTGAGCTTTAGAATTTTCTATTGATGGAATATTAAAACGCAGTAAAGGTTAAAACTGTTTAAAAACTGTTTTCTTATTTATTGTTACTGGACCAAAGATAAGTCTAGGCTTTTCAAAAATTGTTCTTCTTGTATTTCAAACTAGTCTGTGAAACTATTTTTACTTTTATTTTAGCATAAAAAAATCTTGTTTCTCACTTTAAAACATTTGATTGATAAGCTGAGGAAAAATTAACGGCATAAATTAAATGAATTTTGAAAAAGAAGTGTACATTTCTTGTTGTTGTTATCAATTAGGTGCTTACATTAAACGAACCTTATAATTTGCAGCTCAAAGACAGGTCTATTCACTCATTCTGAGATATGTGAAACAAAATTTTAAGTGAATTAGGAATGCTAAATTAGCTTTCTTTTTGTTCGTCTTATTTCACTTTTTTTTCTAAAAACCTAAAACTTAAAAGACTAATGGATGTTGAAATCTGAAAGAACAAAATTTTTTGCGATCACTGTCAGAAATGTGGAACGTTTAAATCTGAAATTTCAATGACAAAAGATTACTGTGTTTTGCATATATGTTAACGAATTATGCTGTTCCTATTCCGGCTTTCTGACCTAATTTTACAAAAATTGAAAAAATTTGGCATAATCATGTGCTTAGCTTTTTATTGAAGCCACTGAGCACTTTAGTTACTGTCTGAGTTCAAATAACACAGCTATCGTGTTTCAGGTGAAAAACCGTATGCTTGTACATGGGAAGGCTGTGAATGGCGGTTTGCTCGATCTGACGAGCTGACGCGGCATAGCCGGAAACACACCGGAGACAGGCCATTCCAGTGTACTCTTTGTCATCGAGCATTCTCACGCTCAGATCATTTGTCGTTGCATATGAAACGGCATTAGTTTCAGTCCAGTGGTCGAATCTTGTAGTTTTAGAGAACTTTTTTCTCTTGTGTAAACCTGTAGGATTTCTTCTGTCTGATTGGTGATGGAAGGGGAAGGAAGTTTATTCCTGTAAAACTGCTGAACTGAGTCATATGAAGTCAGCAGTCTGTCTCCTACGTTGTCTTGAATTTTAGTCAATTCAGAAAAAAACGGTTTTTTTTGTAACTTTTGATCTTTTAGGTTTTTTACTCATTACAGTTTGTCTTTCAACGATCAATTCTTTTGTTCAGAAAAGTACTAATGAATGTTTTGGCTAATTAATCTATTACTTTTATCTTATAGGTCGTTAGCCTTTGGTAAAAAGTTCATTAGGCTGAAACTGCTCAGACGAGATAACAGTAGGGCAACTTTTTTTGGAGAAGAAAAGTTGCATGTAAAACTAAAATGAAAATAGCTTATAGTTAAGAAATTTTATTTTTTTTAGGCAGCAAAAATAAGAATTTTTCTTTTTCTTCTTTTTCCACAAGTTGTCCATCGAATTTGATGGACCGTGAAGTTCTCAATTTCCTTTTGATCTGAAAGGAAATTTTTATTTGCTTTGTATATATGATTAATTCACTTTTTTATCATAGACAATTTTGGTGCCTTTAAAATCCACATCTTGCCACTATGTAATCTATTTCAATTTTAAGTCATAAAACGGGTATATATAGTTTATTATCCTTGTTTTTCGCCTATAAATGTGCCCAGTCGTTCTGAGAAACATTCAGTGCCTCCTGTTGTGATCTTTTTTCCCTTATCAGTGTTTTATTGTTTTTTTTTCTTTGCAGTTCACTTGTACGGGGAATATAACTTTTTGTTGTTTTTTCATTTTTTTTCTTTTTATGCATTGAAAACAATAAAGAGATTTTATTGAACATACTAATAGTAACAAGAAAAAGAAGAAACGGAAAACTGTTTATCATTGTTTGGTTCACAGCCAGACTGGCGACCAAATGCTTACAGACGTCGGCGTTGCTTAACAACTGGCCATGATTTTTTTCAACTAAGCATTTATTCACTTTATTTTAATTCTTTTTCTCATCGTCATCGACAAGACGATGCTTGAAAAGACTGGTTTCAAAGCCGGTCTGAACTTTGAATACGTTTAAAGTACTAATGAAATCGGTCAGATTTAACATTCTTACTCTTTAGAATTAGTGAAGAATGGTTTTTTTTTAAGCCAGTCATTAAGTCTGTTTTTTGGTTATTCATTAGTCGTCTATTTGTGATTATACTTTGGGGGTTTGACAAGACTGTCATATCGGATCTCGTTAAAATTTATCGATATATTGTACCGGTGTGTTTGTTTTCACGTGCTTTTTAAAATGCTTAGTTATAAAAATCGTTCCTGTTTGAAAATATTAACTTCTCTGGTGGAATATTCAATTTGTTCCGTGCTCAAAATATAATTGAACAAATGAACAACTCTGAAATGGTGTAATGTTAAATAAGCAATGCCAAGTTGGAAGTACAACAAACGGTAACAGGTGTAATAAATAATCTCAATTTTCATAACATTAACAGTTTTCTTCTCTTTCATTTTTTTTTTTTTTTTTTGTTTAATTGTTAAAATTTTTATCTGTTAATTTTAGTTCCAAATAAAGAAGCTGAATAATTGCTGAAAAGCGGATAAATAGTTTTAAAAACTTGAATTTATCTGAAAAATTTTTGTTTCTGTCATCACTGTTATTTGTTATTGTCGACAAAACATTATTTGCCAAAATTTCTACTGTAAAGAGACATTGACGTATCACTAACTGTCAGTGCTGAGCAAATAATTGACCAAAATTCATTACATTAAAAGTATCCACTTTTTTTTTTTCATTGTCACATTTTTAGGCTTTTTTTTTTTATAACCAACCTTTTTTTCCTAATTATTCTTTTACAAATCTTTTTCAAATGTATCTCATATTGCCGTTCTGTCTGCCTAACAACCATCAAATTGCATTAACTCAGCCTCATAATTTTTGAATTTTATAAATTGATTATTTTGCTACTCAAAATTAACGTAAGAAAAACAGTACATTGTACTCAGCAACAATGCTCCATTTATCAGCATTATGAATTTTCAGTAGTCATTAGTCTTCTAACTGGCAGGTATAAAATTTCGCTACAGTCAGTTTTACGTTAGAACACTATATCAAAAATAATTCTTATGTGTTTCAAATTTGCTTACTTACATGTATCTGGCTTCCTCTAAGAGTCTTCAGAAAGTCTTGACAAAAATCCTCGTTCTTTAAACTATAAACTTTTTGAGGTTGAAGACCTTAGTGATAGAAGTAACTGTAATTATAATTTTTAATCACCGCTCTTGTTTACAAGTAATTCAAAAGATTTGACGAGTCTAAGATGAGAAGTAAAAATTACAACCTTGCAGATTAACAAATTTAATTTTATGCTATTTTTTAAAATTAGTAACTTTCTTCTTGTTTCTTCAGGAGCTTCGTTAACCGCAGCTGCATTCATTAGCACACCACAGAGGTGAAAACAACGCTGACTGCATCAACCAAAGTTTGATAATCTGGTAAAGTAGACAGTTCAGAAGACAAATACTTTCAGAAGTTTGGAACATAAATGTATGATTTCAAATTTTGTTCCGCAATTTTTCGAGGATTTATAAAAAAAAATTCATATAAATGATTTTCTGGAATCATACAGCATCACATTGCCTAAGCAAGATACTTCTTTCTAATAAATTTAGTAACAGCGATAGTTCAAAATAAACAGTTTCTGAAAATTTGTAATAGTTTTGCTAATTTTTAACAATGATAAACTGAAGAAATAAAAGTAATATAAAAAAATCATTGACATTACACCTGCTGTTATCAAGTGCTACACCTATGGTCTTTTTCATGTGAGTCTTCCTCTGAAATATCTGTTCATTGAAATTAATGTACTTAACTGTTCACTGTTTAGCAATTTTTAATTCTAATAATTAAATTACACCTCATTTTACTTCCCTTTGTTATAATCATTTTTAACGTTCTAAATTAATTGGTTCAAATTAGAGCTTTCAAACAAGTTCATCCAACGAGACTTGACTTTCTCCAAAAAGTTGAAAAATAAATTTACTGCACAGTTTTTTTTTGAACAGGAATTTTATCTGCAGTCAGCTGATTGTGTAATCGACTTTACAGTTTGCATTCTGGTAATAAGACTTGTTCTTAGAAGGCAGCGCTAGACAAATCTCAACAAAATTTGAAGTAATACTTTTGTGAGTGTCAAAAATGAAAAGATAACCGTCGTAACATAAGACTTTTTAATGTATATATATAATTCAGCAATTGTAGAACGAAGTTCTGACTTTATAAGAAAATTTACTATCATTTTAGTCACTTACCAAATAATTTAAATTCAGAAAAAACATTTGTTTTACTTAGGATCTGTTATCAGTCTAAATATAAAACAAAACAAACTAAAATAAGGTAAGAGCTGTTGCGTGTATTTTGTCGATGTGAAAAAATTTTGAGAGGAAGAAAACACCAAACTAGATAGATGCTTTAAAATATAATAGAACAGTGACAGTTTTGGTATTCCTTGTAATGTTTCTGCTTACATAAGTTCGACATCTCATTGTGATCGGATGTACTATGAAAACGTAACGCTAACTCGATCTGAAAGTCCTTCTTTTAAATGCCAAAAAACATCGTTGGCGACAGCAATAAAAGAATGTCGATAACTTCTGTTGTTTACCGGTTTCTACAGCTTTTAAACTGTTTAAGTACATGTTTCAGCAAACCAAGTGATATGTAGCAGATGAAGCCTAGATAAAATAAACAGAAAGATAAGTAAAGTAGTCAAACGATTTTTGACAAAGTTATAAAAGAAATACTATGATTATCAGAAGGAGAACCGAAGTGAAATATTATAGTGGCAGTCTAGATACAAACTGATACTGTAACAATTTTTATAATCTTAGAAATTTGTTTTCATAAGTTATTTTATCTTATACTTCAGCAGAGAGCTGTATTTTTTCTTTTGAAAAAAAACTGCTTTTCCCGTACTTTTGACAAAACAGAGCAAAGTCACATCTTGTACCCTCAGCATTCAAACTTTTGGATAGAAGCAAATGATGATTAACAGTGCGATAGATCTTGTTTTAACAGATTGGTAAGTGGAACTTAAAGTGATGTAGATATTAGAGAAGAACCTTAAAAAATGTTGTCTTCACTTATTTGTTGCTTTCACATTTTTATCTTTAAGAACTTTCAAAAAAATCTGAAAAAAAAACTCAACTGCCAATTCTAAAAAATACTGATGAACGAGAAGTACTGAGATAACATGCAAAATAAGTACGACTGCGGAATAAGTGAATCAAAAAATTGTTTACTAAAACAATATCTTTAAAAAACGTGTCATTTTTTTGTTTGGACCTTAGATACTGTATTTTTTTTTTCTTGTTTTCGCAGAAACACTCGGCAGTCTACGTAGTGGGACCACGAATGCATTTAAAAAACCGACAACTGTGGTAAAACGGTGGCACAGGTTTGATCCGGGCCTGTCTCTAAATAAAGTTTATTTTCTTGAAAGTTTCAACATTTGCTACTCCTGGTCAGCCTAGATGTAATCAGGAGGTATATATATCCAAGATGACAAAGTCTTTGTAAATTTGGGTCTGGGGCTCAGTGGTGAAAAACGAACATAAAGAAAAACACGAGAACAAAGGCGACGAAGTAAGAAGTGATAAACAGAGATGTATCACAAAAACTAAAAAATTAGGATTTAAAAGATAACTCAAGCCTTTATAAAGCTGCAGAAATCCTCGTAATTTTCAAAAAAGCCAGTGACACCAGAAGTAGCAAAAATTAAAGCAAGAAACTAGAAGTCTTGCAAAATCCACCAGCGATTTATCCTTTAAAGAGTACCAATCCAAATTAACTTACGTAATACTGAGCTAATTTTAAATCTGGTAAAACCGAGGCCAATGCACGAAAAGCTTCAAGGAGCAGTAAGGATTGCCAGATAAAAAAATTTCC